TCCATTTTATGTTAGCACTTATTTAGGCTTTTTTAATTTTTAATTTTTTTTATATTTTGCAAGTCTTGTTGAGTTTACCAGTTCAAGTAAGAATTGTTCACCCCTTCCTCTTAATTGGTTATGTAGTGATGAACACCATGATGGATGCCCTGGTCCCATTGAATCTACAGTTGCCGTAACTCATAGCTTATTATTTGGTTTACTTCATTACAAACTGCCTGTGTAGGGATGTATTTTAAATGCCTCCATCTCTCTCTCTGTGTCTCACATGTAAGTATGCAAGTGATACCCGCATTACTTAAAAATCTAGTTCCTTTTTCCTCAGAAAATATAAATTTTGGCCGTCAGATAAAAGAAATTATTGTGGTGCCGAGAATTCATAGTGAGGTGATGGCATTTGCATTTTCTGTTTAAGCTTAGAATTCAAGGGATTTTTGTCTTCTAGTCAAAAGATAGGGAATCATTTCCCTAGGTTAAAGTTTTTTGGTTTCAATGTCTAGGTATCCTCTTTTGGTTGGCATATGTGTTCACATTTGTTATCTAAAGGCAAGGATCTTAGATTAAAATGCCCCAAAACAAAGCTTTTTTTCTCCCCAGCAGGGGGAAATCTACTCTAAAAGTACTCAAAGTCTTAGAGCAAGGACTGACACCAACTTGGACCTTTTTATTGATGTCATTTGTATGACAGGATTGCAGACAAATCACAAATATATACTCAGCATGCTTATATGAGACCACTGGGAGTAGGTCAGCATTCAGTCCTTCCTATGGCAGTTAATAACCTTTTTGTCTTGCGTAAAAGTTTATCATGCAATAATGCATATTAATTGTTTCTCTTCCATCTTCCACCCTATATAACTTGATGAATTGCCTTTGCACTTCTGCTGATGCTATCATTTGTCTACAATTTATGTTTGCTTTCGTAGTGGCAATGGTTTTGGGTATTGATGAAGAGCTCGGACCTCAGCTCTACAAGTGCGACCCAGCTGGCCATTATTTTGGTCACAAGGTAATGTGCCAATAATATTTCTTTTCATTAGCTCCACAAATTTCAAGTATGCAATATCAATGAATTTTTCATCAGAACCTCCACAAGTTTCAAGTATGCAGCAACCCCTATTTTGGTTCTAATTAACAGACACTCATGCAGTTTTTTTCCCTCTTTAGTGCATGCTTTTCCATTTATAGAAAGCACAAAGGTTAATTTGCACCACTGTAATATGTAGATAGTTTCAACAAAGAGTGAATAATGTATTATCTTGAGACATCAATGTATTATCTTGAGACATCACTATTAGCTCTACTCTGCCAGAGTTATATCTCTCTGTTTTAGAGCATCGCCCTATGGTTCTAGTTCTCAACTGATCAACTATTATGCATCTTAGGCGACAAGTGCTGGATCGAAAGAGCAAGAGGCCATTAATTTCTTGGAGAAAAAAATGAAGAATGAACCTTCATTCTCTTATGACGAGACTGTGCAGGTAGACGTTTCTTATCATAATATATTGAACAGGGTGCATAAGATATTATATTGTTAGAATAAATTTATTCTGGAGATTTTGGTGGCTGTTAGCTATTGAACTATGATTATGTCATAGTTAACAAGAGTAGGAATGTCAATACTAATAATAATAATAATAATATTTTGGGTTCCTTCCTCTAACTTCGCATATTTGTTTCATTTTTAGACTTGTGTTTCTGCCCTGCAATCAGTTCTGCAAGAGGATTTCAAGGCCACTGAAATTGAGGTATTTGAAAACGCCCTTATAGTGTTTGAAATTTTACTGTTTTGTGATGGGAACCTTAAATGCATTGTTGACATACTGGTAACTTTTCATTGCTCGTATGATGCTACAGTATATTCCCACATAGGTTTTACCTTGTCCTGACATGGCACTCTATGGAGTTTTCACATTATATCACATAACTTTAACTAAGGCAATTTAGTTTGTTACTTTGGGATCATAAGTGCTTTACTCCATAGGCCTCTAAAGATCCAAGTCAATTGTTTCCCTTCAGTCTTCAATTTTCCATAGGAGCCTAAGAGGGTCTGAAAATAATCTAGTTTTGCATCTCCTGTAGCAACCTGCTTCCAGTTGGGCATCGTATACCTTCGAAGTGTACTATCTACTACTCAGGAGTCTGTTCTGTTAATTACATTTCTTGGGTAAAAATTGTTATTGTGTGAGATCTCTCTGGAAAACTGCTTTGCAAAGTTACTTTCAATATCCTTTGTTTAATGGTTTTGTATATCTTAATTTCTATCAATGTCACGCCCCTACATGCGTAAAAATTTGGGCATTATATGCCAAACCCTTTGCAACTAGGAATTTAATATATGGTAAATTTTGAGTATCGCGATGGTGATGGTATAATAATGCATTTGCAGCAGAAGTAACTTTTATCAAATAAAATGTATGTTAATTTCCATTGCCATTTTCAGGTTGGAGTGGTGGTAAAGGAGAATCCAGTCTTCAGAGTGCTGTCCACCGAAGAGATTGATGAGCACTTGACTGCTATAAGTGAGCGAGACTGAGTCCTGGCCTTAAGCCAATACTGCCCGGAGATGTTCGGTTTTGATAATGTGCTGCATATTTTCGTATCCCTTTCAGAATATCAGGTTAACTTAAAACATTAGAAGCGATTTGGCCGGGATGTCTACTCCGACGTCTGCAACTTTTTTTAGTTGAATTACTGTTGTATGATTGTCAAAATTCACTCTTTTATGATTTGTAGCCATTTTTTTTTTTCCAGAATTAGTTGTTGAGACATCAAATTCCTGTTGGCCACTTTTCTTTGGACGGTGATGAGAGGGGAATAGAGTGTTTCAAATTTACACCACCGCCAATCAGAAACCAATAGGAAATACAAGGTTTAATAACTTTCATGGTGGACGCCAAGTCCTCAAAGGGCTTGATAGGCATATATTGTACATCAAAGTACAATAGATTAATAGAAACAATAATTAATAAGCCATAAATTTAATACACACAAAAATTAATAAACAACATAAACTTAATACAAACGACAATTTATAAACCACATAAACTTAATACAATCGATAATTTATAAACTACATAAACTTAATAATGATATCCACCATATTGACTTGGTGGTGGTGGACTTGGGATATAGCCTTGAGATGATTCATCATCTTGAAATATACTCCTTATGGCATGCTTTCGCAAAATTTCCTTTTGTTTATCACGTAAGAATTTCTTCATCTCTGGAGTGTATTTGCTGAGGTCCTCCATCATGAAATTACATTCAAACCTTTCTTGCTCCCTATCCCTTTCTTCCTTCATGGCCGAACACATTCGGGCCACTTCTTCTTGTTGAGAGCTATGGCATCAATCTTGCAAATCCGGTAGCAATTTGTGCACTCATCGGATCTTGGGACTTCCCTTTTCTCCTTACTTCCCTTTGCTTATCTCTTCCTAGGGGCCTTGCAAAAGAAGAAGTTGGGGTCAATTCATCAACACTTTCATTGACACCTTCATTGACATCATTTGTCGATGCAGCTTCAAGTTGAAATAATCTTCCCCATTGTTGGTCCACATCGGTTCCCCATCTCGGACAATCCTTGAGGACGTTGCAAGCATGATGCAACTTAAAAGGTTGTCCTTTTGGTGTCACTCTTGTCTTGTAAATTGTCATTGTTTTGTCACCCTATGCAAACAATACATAAAAACAATTAGTTGCAAAATAATATTATGTACATGACAAATAAAATATCAACAAAGAAACTCACAATTTCCGCGGCACTCCTTCCACTAGTCATGTCAACCACGGCTCTCTCCAAGCTTCCCTTCCATAAAGTGCACGCTTTGTTAATAACCTTCCACCAATCGTAAATACCACCACCTTCCCTTATGCTGGCATTGAAGTTTTCATAGAACTTATTAACGATTTTACCCCACAAAACCTTTTTATTTTGATTCGTGCCAGCGGCACCATCTTCACTAATAGAAATCCATGCCAAACATAAAAGCAACATCTTACTCATAGGTCCAATTCCGACCTCTAATATGCTCTTTTGCCATCTTGAAAAATTTGGAAATGGGAAGAAATGGTAGAAAGAAAAATTGGAAGAATTGTAGGAGAAAAGTGAGTTTTGCTTGGATGTTGAACAAAATACATAGGTATTTATAGAGTTTTTGGGTGAATTTTAAGTTAAATAATTTTTTTTAATTATTTTTGCTGTTAGATTTAAATTTGAGCCGTTAAATCTTTTTTTTTTTTTATTTTACCGTTAGATTTGATTATATTCAATTTCAGTCGTTGGATTCAATAAATATATAAATATAAAACTAAAAAAAATTTTGAATCTAGACCGTTGGTGATCCAACGGCCTGTTGATTCCATCCATTCGATAAAAAGAGCCGTTGGCTCACTTGGGGAATGTGGTCGACATGCCCACGTGGGTGGGGCCTAGTCAGGCTAAGTGCTTGCGCATTGTGTGCGTCTGGTGAGTGGGTGGGGGGCGTTTGGCGCACAACCACCCGATTTCAATCACACAGGTGGGGCCCACACCGAATCTTGGGCTATTTTTTAGGGGGAATTTGGCTATTAGGTTTTAGCCCACACATTTTGCTTGGGTTGGATTGGGTTTGAGGGAGGGGTTAGCTTTTAGCCCAGGGTTGGAGAAAACCTTAGGGAAGCACTCCAGAAGGAGCTTTTACAACCTAAGTGTAGTTGGGTTTTCTTCCCTTATAAAGTTATAAGCGTTAGCTGTCAAAATAACAGTTTTACTTATTTTAGAAGTAGTTTCAAACATGCATAAGCTTTTATTTTTTTATATTTTTTTTAACAACTTAAAACTACAAACATGCTTAAGTTGTTTGTCCATAAAATAAAATAATTTTCTAACAAAAGATAAAAAAAAAAATTCATTTTTACAGACAAAAAATAAAAATTATGTCTTGGTATTTTTTTTTTAATATTTTAATATAAGTCAGTTTGACGACCTGTGGCAGCTGCAGAGAGAAAATGTACAAGGATGGGAGGCAGCGTGTTCAGGTCGGTTTCTAATTGCCACATCCTTTCCCACTCACCGTCTTCCGTCGCCCGACACGTGTCCCCAACCAAAACTACGCCCCCGCCTGCCGTTTTGCTTCAAAACTGCGCGAAAGCTCTCCCAAACTCTCCAAACCCATAAAGAGGAAGAAGCGCAGAATTTATAGGCTCTATCTCGCTTTTGTCAAAGGATCAATCTTTTATTCGATGCCTTATGCTCGAAGATAATCTCATTCAATTACCATTTTATCCACGCCACAATCGATCTCTTCAGGTACGCTTTCCGTTTGCCTTTGAATGTTATTGTATCAAATTGCCCCCGAAATGTCTGTCGGATTTCCGATTTTTAGGGTTTTAACGCTTAAGCAATTTCTGATTTCAATCAGGTTTTCTTGAATTTTTCTCTTCACGTTATTGGGTTTTCGATTTTGTTCACTTTTTTATTTTTTTTATTTTTTATTGTTTTGGTTTTAATTTATAGAAATTTCGCGGTAATTAAGAAGGGAGTTGATTTTGTACACAAGCAGGAAAATTTGATTAATTTTTATTTTATTTGGGGGATTTTGGATTCAGGGGTTTTGTTAAAGTTGAATTTTGATCATATTTTTGTTAATTTTGTATTGTTGTAGGGATAGTAAGCTAATGGCAACTGCAACTATGGCTACCGCAGCCGGTGCAGCTGCGCTTTTGTATTATACATTGAATCGTAAGTTACAGTCCCCTACATCGGACGGTGATGATGACGAAAATGGGGGTGGTGGTGTGCCCAATCATGCTCCTTTGGGAATTGAACGCGTTTCGCATAGGTTAATTCAAGCCCCGGCTACATGGCTGGAGACCATTTCGACTTTGTCAGAGACTCTTAGGTTCACTTACTCTGAGACTTTGGGGAAGTGGCCTATAGGGGATTTGGCATTTGGGATTAGCTTTCTTCTAAAGAGGCAGGTAAAATGTTTTCATGGACATAGTTTCTTGACTGTGTCGGGTTCAGTGTTTACATTGATTTTGCGATCATTGCATGTGGGTTTTGCTTTATGTGCTGAATACAGTGGTTACACTGATTTTATAACTATCGCATGCGGGATTCGTGTCACTTAGATGGTTGCTTTCATTGTGGCGAGATTTTAGTATTAAGATTCATGATAGACGGATCTTGCTTTTACAAAAATCATTAGTATCTTATATCTGAATATATTACTCAATCTAGAGATGGAAAACTGGGCGGTTGAATTATGAAAAGCATCCTTCTAACTGAGTGGTAAAAACAGAATGGTGAAAAATGTGACATTATACTCTGCAGCTTTCACAAAAAATTTGGGAAGTTTACCTATCATTAGCACTTCTTTGGGATAATAACAGAACCAATACAGGAATTATCCAAAAGTGTGTGCCATTCTGGAGATAAATAGATTCACGAGAAAAGAAAAAAAGTTACATGACATGCTATCCTTCTTGTATTTATTGTTTGATTATATGAGCCCTTATCTGGTATATATACCAAGTAGTCATTTTTCTTCTTTGGTTTGGTTGGAAGAGTGATATTTGATAATAGCTCGTCTGTATGGTGCAGGGAAACTTACACGTTCATGGTGTATTTGGTGGAATAGACAGTCAACAGCTAAAAGGATCTCAAATAATTGCTGAACTCAAATACCTCTTAAACTTATTGACACTGTGTTGGCATTTTTCGAAGAAACCTTTTCCATTGTTTTTAGAGGAGACAGGCTATTCAGAAGAGAATGTTCTTCTGCAGGAACCCAAAGCAGGAGTAGGTTACGTTACTTACATATTGTTACTGTTGTAGTGATCGTTGGTCAGTGTCTTTATGCACTATTTACTGTCAATGGCATAAAAAATTAATTAGCACTATCGGTTAATATCAAATTCTATATTTACTGTGTTTTGCAGATCTTGAAGCCTGCTTTTACAATTCTTGTTGATCATAATGAGAAGTGTTTTCTGTTGCTGATTCGTGGAACCCATAGTATTAAGGACACTCTGACGGCTGCAACGGGAGCGGTTGTACCATTCCATCACAGTGTTGTACATGAGGGAGGAGTCAGTAATTTAGTTTTGGGTTATGCACATTGTGGAATGGTTGCAGCTGCTCGATGGATTGCAAAGCTTGCAAAACCTTGCCTGCTAAAAGCACTTGAAGAATATCCTGACTATGAACTTAAGGTAGTGACATGAAGTGTGGATGTTCTCTATTTTACTACTCATCTTAATTGGCTAATTAGCAGATATTGTTATGTTGTTGATCTAAACGATTCTGATGTAGTAGTTTCTAGAAAGTATACTTTTTCAGTAGACATCTTGGCTCTGATACCTTCCAGTATCATTTTTATTGATTTTTTTTATTTTGCATATCTATAACTGTGCCACTGTAGCAGCTTTGCTGCTACAGTTGATGGGTGGGGCTTTATGGATTATCAGATCAGTTATTTCAGCAGTCTTCTCCTGTTAACTGTATTATGAATTGCACATACCGTATGACTACCAACAGTTTTTTCTTGGAACTTGATCGAACTTACAATATTTTAAGTAGATTCGTGTAACATATTGTTCAAATTTCGTCTTAAACCATTTGGTAGCTTCGAACAATATTATGGTCCACAAGATCAAAACATGTATAACATAATTGTTTCTGACAGATTGTAGGGCATTCTTTGGGTGGAGGCACTGCAGCACTTCTAACGTATATATTGCGAGAGCAGAAAGAACTTTCAACAACCACCTGTGTGACATTTGCTCCAGGTTTGTGTTCATTAGATGCCATGGCCTAATATGAATTTCAGTGCTGTGCATCAGGTCGGGTTTCTTTTTTTGTATTCTCAACACCAAAAAACCCTTTTAGTTCTGTCTTGTATTATTTTGTTCTGAATCTGGATATTTGTTTAGTTTAGCATTATGTAACCGTTTTTTGTTCGGTTAAGTATTTCTATTAGCACTAACTACGTATAACAACGCAGCTGCCTGTATGACTTGGGAATTGGCAGAATCAGGAGGTCGTTTTATTACATCCGTTGTCAATGGAGCTGACTTAGTGCCCACGTTCTCTGCTGCGTCAGTGGATGATTTGCGTGCTGAGGTTATGTTCTTAAACTCTGTTATTGAGTACTCCTTGGGAGATTGCTATCTTTGTTGTTGTGGGGCTAATGATGCTTAATCTGGTTGACTAAATATGCTGATTTTGAATAGGGACGACACTTCTTGAATAGGGTCATAACTAGTATATTCTCCCTATAAATTGACTTGGACAAAGTTTGTGGTACTCAGATTGTTTTTGTTGCTGCTGAGTGCTGATAAAGCTTTTCAATTTACAGTACATTGTTTGTTCTTCTAAATGGTTTGTGTTATTACTGGTGATTTTAGTCCGATTATGACGAGCAGGAAAAGCTCATACTCTAGCGCCATCTCTGTGTGCTCTTTTCTCATTTCTCTTTTAGTGATTGTAATATTTCCTTCCGGTAAATAAATGGGCTTTCGACAAGGATTAATGATATTTGTTGAATATGCCCAATATTGTTTTTTTCCATGATAGCTTGTTATTTTCGATAAATTTTCTCTGTACAGCCATTCAGTGCTGGTTCTCTGGCTTGTTGATGCTTGAAAAACTTGCATGCTTTCTGTAGTTTCATTGAGACGTTGCAAATGCTTATGATATTCCTTTTATGGTTCTACCATGTCTCTTTCTAATGTATTGTTTTATAAAATTTTGTATCTTTTTACAGGTTACAGCGTCTGCTTGGATAAATGACTTGAGAAATCAGATTGAGCAGACAAGAATTCTTAGCACTGTCTATCGTTCTGCTTCAGCTTTGGGATCACGGCTTCCCTCCATTGCCAGTGCAAAGGCAAAAGTTGCTGGGGCGGGGGCGATTCTACGCCCTGTTTCCAATGGTACACAGGTAACCTTTTTTCTTTTTAATGTAGTTTTGTTTCGCATTGTGTTCTTGTCCTTTCACAACCTGCTTGTAATCAACCAAATACCACTTCTAATATGTGTCATGTCTTGTGACATTCTTGTTATAGAAGCTTTCAACTGTGTAATTCGGCGGTTGGAACTTGGAATCTGTATTCCTCTTCTACTTAATCATTTGATTAGCTTGTGAAACTTTCTGACTTCACAGGTTGTTATGAGAAGAGCCCAGAGCATGGCTCAGGCAGCATGGACTCGTCCTTCCCTTGGCTTGTCATCATGGTCGTGCATGGCTCCTCGTCACCGAGCCTCAGCTGCTCATTCAAACTCAAATGATGAAGGAAGTTCTGGAGGATCCTATGGTGGCAACACAGAGACTTCTGACCCTCTTCTTACACCCCCCAAGAGAACCACAAGCTCAACTGCCATTGAAACCATTGACCTTCCTGTATCTTCATCTGTAGGAATGGAATGGACTTCAGAGATTGATTGTTCTTATTCTGATAGAATGCGTCAAGATGCTGATGGCGATGTCGGTGATGAGCATGAGGGGCTCACAGACCATGATAGACATGAAGACCGGATGACTGAAGTTGAATTGTGGCAACAACTTGAGCATGAGCTTTATGATAGAACAGAAGGTGAGGATGGCGATGTGGTAAATGAAATAAGGAATGCGGAAAATGAAATAAGGGAAGAAGAAGAAGCCGCAATTGCAGAGGCAAGTGATGGTCGGCCAGAGAGCTCTGCTCCTGACATGAAGGAAGCACATAGATTTTTTCCTGCAGGGAAAATCATGCATATTGTTACCGTTCACCATGGTGGTGCGGATAGTGAAAGCAGTGGCCCTAGCTTGAGTGGATCGGGCAATGAGCAGCCAGAAGAGACTAGGGTTGGTATTTTCCTTACTTCAAGATCTCTGTACAGTAAGCTGAGGTTGTCACAAACCATGATTAGTGATCACTTCATGCCGGTATATAGAAGGCAGATTGAGAAGTTAATTAAAGAACTTGAGGAAGAAATGGCTTCCAACGGAGAGGTGGTATTATAGGGAGATAAACATTGGAATAACAATTTGTCTATACACTCTGCACCGGACTTGGATTTTTGCCTCCATCAATTTTGAATCTGAGCTGCATAGAGACGGTAATCCTCCTTCATTTGCTTTGCTGCAATTTGGGAAGAATGGTGATAGCTTTGATGCCGCGACTTTCAAATCGAGGAACCTGGTGGATCAACCTGTATGCAGTTACAAAAATCCTCGTCTTCTGTAAATTAGTTGAGGTGCTACACTTGATTTCTCTGTTTTTTCTTTTTCCTTCATTAAACTAAGGTGGTAGGCGACTTTTAACATGTCTCTGTTTGTTGAACTTGTGGGTTAAACTCCCTGCTTTTTGTGCGCCCTGATCGACATTAGTTTCTTCAGTTGTAAGAGAGAGGGTTCCATGGCACGGGTAAGTTTTTCTTCACATGGCATTGTGCGATTGGCATGAGATGCCGCCATGGAAATTACTCTCTAGCTTTTAAGGCAACGCACTCAGAGTTTCCCATCTTAATTTTGTTAGAGAAATTTTAAACATCTTCCTTATGACATCAGTATGCAAATATGGGAATGTAAGTTTTGGTGGTTTTTTTTTTTTTTTTTTTTTTTCTATGTTGCCAAAATTTGCTGATTTTCTATTAAATGTTCCCCTTAAACATTTATGGATGATTGACAATAGTAATGTTATTTAAACACATAAAACTCGATAAATCATAAATTAGTTACTTTGTGCACTAATCAAACATAAAGTTATTTTCTTGTAAAGCTAAATTATCGAGCTATGCGGAATTGGAGTTCCACGTCGAATGCAACTCTTTGCGGCTCAAATATCATGCCAACATGCGTCATAATTTAATTAATTAATTAAATAACTAGCTTTGTTTGCTTTTGGTGTTATATCTAATAAAGGTTCATATATTAATGAATACAAGGCACTCCTTGACGATGTATAATAATGCACATGGATTTACCACTTGTCCAAGGAACTTACTATTAACACTACCACGATTTTGAACTTGTGCTATGTAACTCCTAGTAGTAATCACAAAGACCCACTTTATATACATTAAAAGAAGCTATTTTATATTTTGTGGTCCGTTTATTTTTGTCTTTCGTTTGTATGTTACAGAGAAAATAGGCGGGACAAAATGAGGGATGAAGAATGGTAAAAAAGAAATAAAAGAAATGCATGCGGAATGCATAATGAAATGAAAACTAAAATCTAAAATTACTTTTAATTTGTTTTCACATTCAAAATTTTGCTTCATTCCTTCTTCTTCATTTCTCTTCGTGCCCCATGCCGTTCATATTCATCTCTCTTTTCAAAATACATTCTCACAGAATGATCAAAATGATTAATAGGACAATCTCAGGGATCATTTCTATCAAGTTTAAATCTCAAAGATCAAAGTGAGGAGTTACTACAATCTCAAGGACTATTTTCGTTAAAAAAAACTTCTTTTTGTACACTCATGTTTAATTTGTATTTGATTTATTCAATCTGATGATAAAAAATAAAGAAACTTGTGTTAAATAGAAAAATAGTGTGTAACTTCCAATTCTCAAAAAAAACCATACATATCTATGTGTTTGATTATTAATATTTGATGAGTCACTATCTAAGCTCACATCATCGGATCGTCTCCAAGGATCTTTGAGTTTTGTTAATTAATTTATATTAAGGGCTGTAAATTTATACATGATCATGCATTTGATTTCTCTGTCGAGATCGATTAGTTAAAAGCACGTTGCAAAAATAACAAAGAAAGGGTCTTGCAGCCCTGAAAGAAAACAAAAATAAGCCAAAATCATCAAAGGCAATGGTTTGGAATGATGCAGGCAACCACATTTTGGGAGTCCGTTTACTAGCTATATATATATATATATATATATATATATATATATATATATATATATGTTGCTTTTGGTCGAGTACTAATTAGACGCAAATTCTAGTTGGACTTGAACCTTTTATTCATGGTTAAAAACTTACGCCTCTTTATCACGTAAATACTATTAGAGGGGGAAAAGCGAACACATAAATTCAACTTTCAAGTGCATGAACGATCGCTTTTATTCACTTGCGTGCGATGCAGTTTCTTATGCATTTATTTTTAAAGAACAAATACTTACGAGCAAAAGGAAACAATAAAGCATAGGGAAATTGAAATACTCATGTCCTTGGCTTGGTTCGTTTGTCAAATTAAGGATACATGGCCATGTCTCTCTGTTGAGATTTTGAAGGGTTCTCAACCAGAAACTCTAAATCGATTCAATATAAAATAATTTGATGTTGGAAAATAAAAAGGAAAGTATTTTAGGATTTGATTTAATTAGTGATTTTATATGATTTAATTAGGGTTTTGATTTAGTCTAGGTTTCCTTGTCTTGTAGACAAGGGCTTGTTTTGATTTATTTCCTAGTATTACTTCTTTGTAATCTTATAAATACCTCCATATGGAGAAGAATAAATTATTGAAGTAGTATTTTGAGAATTGTAAGATTGTAGAGAATATAATCTATCCTAAACTCTTTATTTTCAACTTGGTATCAGAGCAAAGTTTGATTCTCGATTGAACTTTGTTGTTAGCGCTTCCTTGTGGGTGTACGAATCTAATTTTCTTCGTGCACCCACATGCCATGAACCTGAGGGTGAAAATTGTCTACAATTGTTAGAAGAAGATAATTTTCCGCTGCCATGAAGAAGAGAAAAAATGACAGAAAAAAAGAAAGAGAATAAAGATATAAAAAAGAGAGATTTGGTGATTTGGACTTCCGAAAAGAGGCGTTAGTTTTAGTTTGGCTTTCGGAAAGATTAGCGTTTGTTCCAACTGGACTTTCGAAAAGATGCATTGGTTCCAACATATCAAGAGATTTATTTATTGGGCTTTTGAAAAAAGACGTTAGTTTCAATTGGGCTTTCAAAAAGATTAGCGCTAGTTCCAGTTGAGTTTTCGAAAAGAGGCGTTAGTTCCGAGGATTATGATTTGTTCGTTGGGCTTTCAAAAAGAGACGTATGTTCTAGTTTGGTTTTCGAAAAGATTAGCACTAGTTCCAACTGAGCATTCAAAAGTAGGCGTTAATTCTGATGGATTGTGAGTTGTTGAGCCTTCAAAAAAATTGGCGTTAGTTTCAGCGTATCAATGAAGATTTCCTTCTTGGCAAACTCATGATTTCACATCATGAGTTTAAGGGGGGTGTTGGAAAATAAAAAGGAAAGTATTTTAAGATTTGATTTAATTAGTGATTTTATATGATTTAATTAGGGTTTTGATTTAGTCTAGGTTTCCTTGTCTTGTAGACAAATGATTGTTTTGATTTATTTCCTAGTATTATTTCTTTGTAATCTTATAAATACCTCCTTATAGAGAAGAATAGATTATTGAAGTAGTATTTTGAGAATTGTAAGATTGTAGAGAATTCTAATATATCATAAACCCTTTATTTTCAACTTTTGATAGCTGTGTATTGCTGCAGGCATCTAATACGACATTTGCTTTCCTTTATAATCCACCATTATGGTAGGTTAAAGCAATCGAATTAAAAACATTTTAACTACATCAAAAGAAAAGCAAAAGATCATGATTCGTGAAGTAAAGAAATTTCACAAGAGTAATGATTTTATCAAACAGTACTTAAAGGCTTCTATCTTTGACAAGACTGTTTACAATTTTAAAGCATTTTGACAAGAAAAATGGATGATAATTTTTTTATTTTGTTCAAGTTGAAGATTACTTATAAAGAAAAATTATCTCTTTTAATTCTACTATTTTTAGGAGTACTAGTAATGATATTTTTTCTTCGAGTAATCTTGAAAATATCTTCAATGTAATGAATAGTCTTATTCAAATTAATAGTTCACATTAAACCGGGCCAAAGAGCCACGACACATGGGAGACAACAACCTCAAAAATTAAAAACAAAATCATGCAATAACAAAGAGTTAAAAATTGTAAATTGATTATATCTCAACCGGAGAAATACATATTAAAATGGTGATCATGAGCAATCAATGAGAGAAAAATTGGCAATTAAAATGGAAAGGGATCGTCTTCGGATCTATTCCATCTAATTTTTCTCGTCAAATAATTTGGATTTTTGAAATTTGATCAAACGTTTAAAAATATAAGCCTACTTTAAAGTTATAATAATTTTAACCGTTGGATTAAATTTTAAAAGTCCGGATTGTATGATGAGGAGAATTAGATTGAAGAGAGGATCCCTTTCCAATTAAAATGATAACTATGACCCACCTGGATAATTTACCAACATGATTAGTGTGCAACACGTAAGTGCTGACAATGCTGCCCTGTCACGATTTCATATAAGGTAATCACCACGCATCCACAGGAGATAGGGATGCCAGTTGGCTTTTGGTTGACCTAATTGAACATGACGTGTCCATTCAACAAAACCCAAAGAGATACAAATATTTGCTGATAATAACCTTAACATTCTTTAAGAAAGAAATCAAATTAATAAACTCTTCTTTTTACTAATTAGGATCCAATGAACATAAACCAATAGGGGTATCGCATGAATTAGCAGATCTAGAATTCTAATACATTATGTGGTCATAATCAAGGTACGCTAGGCACTCGGGTGATAGGCTAGGACCTCGAGCCTATGTGCCTAGAATGGATCTAGACGGACTAAACAAATTTACGTAAATTTATTATATATCATATAAATAAGTGTCTACTTACGCTTAAAAACTATATTGATATTGAGAATTTGAGTTTGGTTTACTATTTAACATATAACATATAAAATATTATAACTTTTGCTTTAGTACTTTAGCGAATTTGATGATATGAGGTGAAAGTTCAAGTGATTATGAGTTTGTAGTATTTTACGAAATATTTTTCAGAGATCGTATTTAATTATAATGAATTTTAAAAGAATTTACGATGTCGAACAGATGGTAGAAAAAGTATTGATTGAGTAATACACCATCCCTTTGTTAATTAAAATCCTAGGTGGCATAACATGAATGGAAAACAATAAAAAAAAAAAGGGGGAATTGGTCACGTGGGAAAGGGAGAGATGGTCTTTCTTCTTTGTAGGAACTTAGGTCCAAGAACAACAAAGTTATGTTGGTCTTTCTTCTTGGTTCAAAACTTATGTTTCACCATATCTGCACAACCATTGTGGTCTTTTCTCTTCCACCATATGTCCAGACCGTTGGGTGATCCCCAGAGGTCCTCACCGACACTTCTTTGGACTTTTGAGTGGTCTTGAGACCACCCGGGTTCATATGCCTCTGCTCCCATATGTATGGCAGAACTTCAATTAACTCCTTTCATAGTTTTTTTCTTTTCATCAACAGTGGTCATCCATGAAGTTTAAACTAACTTGCTCCACAAATTATAAGTAAAAAATGAATGTCGGTAGAATAATTATGTACACCTGTTTATAATAGTGATTCAACTACATGCACGAAGAAAATGTTGAACCAAACAACCACTTTCATGGCCACGTTTTCCATTCCAAATCCCTTATAACCTAGCTTGCACGATATCATCCCTAGTTTGCATAAACAGATATTGAAGACAAACTATCCTTGCTAGTTAAGT